TAGAGCCGAGTGGTAAATCTGCACTTAGTGAGAATTGTATAACACCCATGCCCATAGTAGGCCATGAAACAAACAGGAAGGCCAAAACGAAACGTTCACGACGTCGCAAGATGACAAAAACGTTCCCCCAAAAGGCAGACGATTGCAAGGTCTGCGATTTCTGTTGCCTTCGAATGCAACTTTTGCAAGCAATGGGTACATTGTAGGTGCGACACCGGGGTACCAAAAGTATATTACGATTTTATGCGTAAGAACCCATGCCCATGGTTCTGGTACATATGCCCAAGTTGCCATCCTGATGCAGCCTCGTGTAGTTCTTTGAAAGCTAAAAATGGCATAGAGATATCAGGGAAAAACGTGAAACGTTATACTCCCACCAACTCGGAAAATAGCAAAATTGCACGTAAATCGGGGATACCAAAATCCACACCGGTTAAACTTGCAATTCTTTCCATAACTGCTCCAGACACAGAGGCTGAAGCACCAAGGTTATCTGTCGCTGGAAAAAGACCCTTATCGTCTGCCAGTAATAGTGGCCACGGCACTGAGACACACAATAATATCCAGTCCCATTAGACGAAACAAAACGGCTTTAAAGGGGATGACAAATGTGCAAGAACCGAACCTAAGTCCACGGTTAGTAGATCAAACTGCGTAATCCTCTTTAATGTACCAGACTGTAGTAGTAGTCTGTTGGAAAATAGGACCCTGTTTGATCAAGAACAGTGGCCCAACTTGTGTAGCACACTGGGTCTGGACATCCAACCAGTAAAACTATGCAGATTGTATACGGGCACTGCTAATCCTCAAGGAAACCATCCCCACTGAGAGTAACACTGGGCTCTGCCGAGGTTGTCTAAAAAGTTTTACTGACTTCTCAAGTCCTTTCTACAGGGAGGGCCTGCAATATACGTGTTAGGCCAGACAGGCAATGGAAGGAAAGACAGATGGCGAGAGAGTCGCCAGAGCTTATTCCTTCTGCCTCCATGGCTGTTCATGGCAATCCCGAACTGGTAACTGGGAACGCTTGCGAGAAGCACTGTCACGATGTACAACAATGGAGATGGTTGGCATCCCAGATGGCTCTGGGAAGTTCAGGGGCTGTCTCTATTTATAGACTGCCTCGACCCACTCACCTTATGTCAATTAACACGCCGCGTCTGTTAGCTGTCAAGTTCAGCTTCCGAGACCAGTTGATTACTGCTCTCCAGAGATGGTACGAGACCAAGGACAAGGTCAGCAGACACATTCGCTGCTGCGAGAGCCGGCCTCGTACCCAAAGGAGAGAACAAAGCGTTGTCAAAGAAAATCCTCAACCCTTAGTCACACTACAGCGGTGCAGCACGGACGATGATAGCCAGTGTCATCCAAGTTCTCCGATTGAACTAGAAGAATAAAACGCCAACAGGCCGGTTCCCGGGAAATCGGCCAACTAGTTCGTAGGATAACTTCTCAGCCGACAGCCCACATCACGTCAACCACCCCCCAATACAGGGACGTGGTGAGACTGACTACCAGTTGCCTGTACAGTAATGTGAGAGGTCTAAGAAGCAAAATAGCTGAACTTAGACACCTACATTCACAGCTGAACTCCGAAATCATAATACTGACGGAAACCTGGCTAACCCCCACGATGGCAGACAGCGAAGTCAGTATAAATGATATGGTCCTAGTCAGGCGAGATAGGGATCTGAAAGAAGGAGGTGAAGTCGCCATATACGTCGACAAACAGCTCGGATGTGTTCACGCAATGGACCCTCCCCTCATTGAGCTCCCTGACTCCATATGGTGCCATTTCACCGTTGGGTACTGTTAATATCTAGTGAGCAGCACTTATCGATCACCTTCATGTGGAGCACACCACAACCATATACTGCTAAATACAATTTCAGCGACACAAGACATGGGTTATGATCAAATTGTCATGGCTGGAGACTTCAATGCCCCATCTCTTAACTTGATGACGGGATATGCCTACGATAGATTTGATCGAAATCTGCTGCATATCATCAGGGAGGCCAGATTCACTGAAAATTTCAGAATGGATACTAGATGGGGCTCAGATGGGAGATCTTCTAGACTGGATTATATGCTCACTAGTGACCAGCTACTAGTGGAAAACGTTCAAATCACGACTCCCATAGGTAGTAGTGACCATGTGGTCATAGTATTCGACATAGTCCTCCGTGAGCGCTTACAGTGGGACAATACACAGCCCTGTCTGTTATAACAAAGCCAATTACACCGAAATGCGAAGACTTTTGTCTGAAGCAAATTGGCCAAAAAATTGGACAGAGCTTACAGTAGAAGAACACTGGGGAGTGGTAAAGGAGACCATTCACCAGGCAGTCTCAGACACTGTTCCTTTAGTCACACCGAAAGCTAGGAAACAACGTTCATGGCTAAAACGGGGACACAACACCTTCTGCAGGCGAAGCGAAAAGCCTGGTTTGCGTGGCGAGTATCGAAGAGTCAACCCGAACATGGAGTGTACCTTGAACTTAGGAATCAACGTAACTTACGAGTCTGGAGTGATAGAAGAACATTTCAGAGAAACCTCGCCAATAAGCTTCTCGTGAACCCCACGAGCCTATGCAGGTTTATGTCTGAAAGAAAACTGACCAACCAGGGAGCTTGCAATCTAGTGGGTTCTGATGGGAAATCTCCTACTAGTCTTGAAATGGCAGAGACATTCAGTCTAGCCTTTGACAGGCAACTGAACAGTAACGAGGATTTTACCTCCACAAAACATCAAGATTACAATGGAAAACCAACGTGCAAAAACCTGCTGGGTACATTTCAAATTATCTTGGCTATGGTACTCGTAAAATTGGGAAAGTTGGCTTCGGGAAAGTCTGCAGGTTGCGATGACATAAGACTATCCGTCCTGAAGCAGTGTTCAGAAAGTCTCTGCCAACCCCTAAGTGATCTGTTTCAACACTCCTTTGATGTTGGGAAACTTCCATGTGAATGGAAACGAGCCATCCTATCCCCTATCTTCAAGGGTGGTAACCGGCAGAATGCGACCGGCTACAGACCAGTTGCACTACTTCCAGTGATATCGAAGATATTGGAAAGTCTAATTGACGACCACATGAGAAAATACTTCGATAGGACTAACCTACTCCATGAAGCACAGCACGGTTCCAGGAGGGGAAGATCCTGTGTGACGAATCTTCTACTAGCTTGGAACGATTGGACACTATCCTGGGATGTAAAGGTACCAGTCCATGTGATCTTTCTCGACTTTGCGAAAGCATTTGACACAGTTCACCATGGCCTGTTTCTTCACAAAATAAGCAAGGCGGGTGTTTCTTGAGCACTTCTCGCATGGCTGAAAGATTACTTAGGCGAGAGAATTCCGCACCAAAGTCAACCGCATCCGATCATCCTGGCACATCTCGGCATCAGGGGTTCCTCAGGGTTCTATCTTAGGGCCGTTGATGTTTTTGATTTTTATCAACGACCTGCCCTGTCAACTGAACTGCTCTGCGCTCCTTTACGCTGACGACGTAAAGGTTTGGAGAGCAACAAACTCATCGGAGGACTCCGACAGATTGCAGGCTGACCTGCAAACTCTGGGAGACTGGGCTCTGGCTAACGGAATGCCTTTCAACCTAAAGAAGTGCAAAGTAGTGGAACTTCATTCCGGCGGGTATCAGAGTGCAAATTACACCCTTGGTGGCCAGAACTTGAGTTGTGTGCCACCAGAACGCGACCTAGGTCTCATTTTAACAGAAAAGCTAGACACAAGTGTAAATTACACGAGGAACGTCGCCAAAGCTTACGCAGCCTTACACTTTATGCATAGGCAGCTGGGAGCTCTTACTCCCGAACTATTCTCAAGGTTGTATACGACATACGTGAGGCCACACTTTGAGGTGCATAATATCATTGCTCCTCCGCTACTCAAAAAGGATGCTAACATACTAGAAAGTGTCCAGAGACGAGAGACAAAATGGGTGATCGGCCTCCGCAACAAATCATATGAGGAAAGACTGAAGAAATTAAGTCTTTTCACACTTAGTTACCGTAGTCACAGGGGAGACCTCATCACCGTCTATAAGATCTTAAATGACCAGGCTCACCCTAATAAGAGCATCCTGCCATTAAGTGATTATAGGCTATCACGAGTTTACCCGCTTAGGATATCCCACCAGAGACCCAAGACTCGAGTGCCTTCACATTTCTTTTCGCTTCGAGTTTGCCGTCTCTGGAACGCTTTACCGGCGGCTGTGACTACAACACCATCTGCGGAGACTTTTTAAGCGGAAGCTAGAAAATCATGCAGAAATGCAAGGTTTGTGTCTCAGCAGCTTATCCTCTTAAAAATTTAAAACCACACTGTCAATGGGTAAGTACACAAGCTATATCCCCACGACCGATCCTGTCTTCTCTCACTGTACCGACTACTCTATCTTTTCTTTCTTTCTTTATTATTTCACCTTTATTATTTCACTTATCTCAACCTATATTATCTACGCTACAACCTATTATTATTCTACTTTTATGACTACACCGAACGACCAACGGGTGTTAGGTCAAACTCCATTCACGGCAGCAGCTGAGTCCTAACATACTACACACTACAAACCACAATCTTGACCAATCCTCTCACCACTCCTCTTGGAGTCTACCAGAGCTAAAGCAGTCGAGTGCCGGGACTTACTACGCATAAGTTCACCGAAGATCTGGAACCTCTACCTTTTAATCAAGAAGCGAGCTCAAAGAAATCACCGGTTTATACTAGCTCGTAATCAGGATATTGGATACTATGAATTCATCTCTTGATTCTCTTCCCGTTTGGTCAGCAACCATTTCTCTAGAGTTTCGCAAGTCTCAGCAGCGATACCAACGCTTAAAAACTAATTAGCCTAAAATGAGCAAACAAAATTAAGAAATCTTTACGTTTTTAGGGCTTGACAACATGTAGTATATATGTTTTAATCAACCGAACTAAGCGGTTACCATACGAACAGAGTATTGCAAAATCAAATTAGATGTCCAAGCCATCTACAAATAGAGGTAAAACGGAGAAGGGGAAAAATGCAAACACTTCCCTTGTTGTCCAAGATGTGATTTCTGGAAAACTGTCGGATTTAGAGTGGTTTGTGGAAAATTAGTCACTATGGCTTTAGGAATTCCTTGTTTGAAGATAACCTATCAGAAAAGATATGTCATGAAATAACTGAATACATTGTTGGCAAGTCGTTCGATGCTGCATTCAAAATTTATTTGAGACATCAGTTGATTCCATTCACGGTACACCAAGCATCATCATCTCTTTCGCAGCTGGTTGATGTAAATTTCACTTAGTAAACATTATTACACAGTTGGAATTTATGTGTTGTGATCTAGGTGAACCGTGTATTACAACCAGTTGTGAGTGGAGAGAAGACGAAGGTATCGTTGTGCTTTTAAACAAATAGTTGTCATTATAACGCTTTGTTTAGTCGCTGACTCATGCAGAATAGATTCTTGGGCTCAGGGTGCAATTTCAAAGTCTTTCCATACAAAGCTACCAGAGGAAGTGGTTACAAACTGTGGCGTGTGCCAATCGATAGGACCCAAGCTTTCTGGCAGGTGAGTGGTTTTGTTATCGGCTTTCTAATAGTGTTTTCAAAAGGATGTTGTAGGATATCCTATACCAACTTTAGCATATATATATATATACATCTTAAGAGCTTTAAAATATTAGAGTAGTTTGCGATTCTGCTGATGTGTTAAAGCTATAGTATTCAGGTACAATTCTGGTAAATCTTGATTCCATCTTTGCTTGTTTAATTCATTAGTAACTATGGGTATCTTGTTTTGAATACTTCATCGCTAATATTAACTTGCCTCAATAAGTCTATTTCGTCTGAGCCAAAGGTTTCCTATAGGATTAGATAATATTAAAAATAACACAAAGACATTATTACCTGTATTTAAGTTTACTCACGCCTAAGTGAAAAACAACAGCACCAAGACGTGGAGGTTATCGTCAGAAAGGCACAAAATAGACCTGTAGTAATAAAAGTGACCAAAACATGAATAAAACACATAAAGCCTGCATAAATCAATATGCTTCCAAGAATAATTAGCACATCTTCGACTGGCCAATGGTTCGTAAATACGACTAAGAACATGATGCAGCTTCGCTGCGGAATACATTCTGCTAACAGAAGTTCAAGTGTGGCCAAAAGCCAAGGTTAAAAGACACAATGGCGTGTCCCGAAAAATAGATATAACAATCTTGGAACAAATAGTTGGAAACACATAAGAGGAAGATTATATTATGTCCGAAAACTTCAAAAAAATTATAATTAGATGGCCTATGAAAACACAGTTCCATGTAAAGCAAAAATAAATTTTGCTTACAATGGCAAAGGAGTTACTTAGTAAAGGCAAGAAGTGAGTAAGATGATGAGTAAATAACGGGTTGAGTAACAATAAAGTGAGTTCAACTGAAATCATCAAAGCAAGAGACGAGCAAAGTTACACCATATCAAAAAGGGGAAAGAGGTAAAGACCAAAATTACGTGATCGAATGGGAGATAGAATAAAGACATCCAGTTACCAGGTCAAGGAAAGACTGATAACCACTTCCTTCTAAACACACCAATTAGTTTTCAGGCGTCTGATAGCGATTGCTTCGGCCATTTTGTCCATTTATAATTCTAAGGGGTTTTGCGATGTTCACTTCATGACTTGTATTGATGAGGAGTCTGGCAGTGGCACTACCGTAGGTGTTTATCCACTTGAGATGCAAGCTTTTTGTCACATGTTCAGAAAATCGGAGGTGTGCCTTCACCCTGTTCTCCCAACGTAACTGCAACCGCATATACATGCAAACCTGTATACACAGTTAGGGTTAATATGAGAAGGGTATCTGTCTACCTCTGATTGCACTCAAAAGCATGTCGTCCGATAGACAAGAACCAACTTATCTGCAGGATAGGTTCTGGCTAGTGAGGTATTCAATCTTCCGTTAACTACTCCTGTAATATTATCACCTTTAAAATTGAGTTGAATTAAGATCGGCCTTTTCCCAATGTGATTTGTTTGACATTTGAGCCTTCACATCTTCCATACTTGATGACGAATTTCTGAGGGTAGCCGTTGCTTCTCAACATCTTTTCGAGAGCCAGAAATCCCTCCTCTAATCTCTCTGTAGAGCATATTCTCGTGAATCTGTGGAGCAGAGTTTTGACAGGTGGTCGCTTATAGCCATTTGGACAAAAACTATTAAAATGTCATCTTCCAGCCGTTGTAAGGCGATATTAAAGTAATAATATTTGACAATGTCACACTTGAAATAATCCGCAAATTAAAAACCCATAGAGGCGTTTTAAGTGAAGACTGGAGTAAGATATATCTGTCTACCATCACGGATGATATTCCTGATTTTGATGGTGTGTGGATTATGTGGCAGACCGTGGGCAGCGAAAAGACAGGAATACGTTCGACGGACGAGAAGGCTCCAGAATATCTGGATTTCGGGAGGAGGGTGAGGGCAACCTATTTCTAGTGTCACACGAATTCGAAGATCCACAGGCGAAAACCAAAACGTCGGCAGAACAGGCAGGTGGCGAAGACTGAACTTCAAGTGAGCGCAGAGAAGACGGAGGTGATGATGATAGCCAACCAACCGAAAACAACAAGCACCGATCACTATCAACGGGAGAAACTCGAAAGAGGTCACTTCCTTCACTTGTCTAGGCAGCACTGTTTTAACCGCAGGCACACGTCACGGATGAGGATGTCAAAAGTAGAGTCGGAAAGGCGAGACAGGCCTTCATCACTCTGAGATCAGTTTGGAAGTTCTCTGCACTTAGTACGATGAACAGAATTCAGATTTTCAACACCATTGCCAAGTCAGTGAGTGCTTCTATATGGTTCGGAAAATTGGCACGTCACGCAAAGCATTTCTAACAGCTAGCTGCAGACTTCTATGAACAGCGGCTTTGGCTGTATACTGAAGATCAGATGACCATACAGAAAGAATTAGGACCGGGAAACTGTGGGAAGAAGCCAATCAGGAAAGTATTGTTCAGCAGATATGGCGCAGAAAATGAAGGTGTGGGAAATCACTTAGTGAGGCTGCTTGGACGACTTCGAGTTGATTTCGGTCTGATTCTAACTAGAAATAACTGTCATGATTGCTGTGTGGCCAACTATTCTGCTTGACATGAGCTCTGGCCACACTACCTGCTGACCATTTAACCTGGCCCACCTAATCTAGTCTCCAGGGTGTTGTTAACACCGTTCCAAATAGTGAAGGAAGAATATAACCCTAACGCCTGTTCAAGGATGTATTTACTAACGATGATGCTAAGAGAGTATAGAAATACACAATCAACACAACATAGTCGCTGAGCTCTTGTCCCTTGAAAATTCAATTGTCTACCATGTGTGCCAATCCGCACAGATAAACAAATTGATCATTGAAGGTGAAATGGTTGAGGTTCAATTGGTTTGATGAACTTCTGTGATCCCTTACATTACTGCCCCACTAGAATCATCTAGGGTTGATTCGATTCAGCGAAAGAAGTTACTGTGTGTAGTAGAGTCCTGTGGAAATTGTAACATCCGTTGTGTACTGAGAATTCAGGGGGTGGGGAACGCAGAAGGATAGCAGGAGCTATCTCAGGGAATGAGTTCATTCTTGGTGGAAGAGTAGCAGTAGTGGTAGTGTGACAGAGCAAACAATCAGCTCAGCATTTGATGGAAGTGGTAAGTATTCAGGCTGACATAATTTTGTAACGCCCAAATGTATAAAAATCCTTGAGATGTAGAGATGATTAAATAGAAATTGGCATACCTTTATTCGGTCAAAATGTTACCTTTTCAAGTGCATCTGAATATCAGTGTTGCTGGAAGGAATTCGGTTCCTAACTCATATTCTAAGGGTGGGGGGATGAAATGTTAGCATCTGATGTAGATAGTGTTGCATATAACCATTAGTTGTGTGATGAAAGGAACGTGAGTGTGACTAAAAGAGATGAACTCCGAACTCAGTGTCCCATGATACTGTTTGGTGCATTTATCAAAAATGACGATTTGGTGATTCTGAGGACTGGAATAAGAACGACAAAAGTCATTACCACTGGGTATTTTGGTGGTTATAATATGACTCACATTTATATGTCTGTACTAAAAGTCGGTATTTACGTGGTAATAAGCTGGCCTAGATATCTTCCGAGTCAGGGGCTGAAGGTGCTTTTGCGAATGAAATCAAGATATGATGCAAGAGACAGCAAAGGTCATTTAGCCCGTATTTTGAATTCGCTTAACCGTCAGACTGGTTGTGTTGACTTCAGATGAGATCACTGTACTGCCGAATAATAGACGGTGAGTGGTACGCTTTTGTAAGTTATAATAACCTAAATAACTGCTAGAATTTTGACATTATTGATTAATGTGGTAACAATCTCTCCGATTATTGATTAGCAGCTTAAATGAATACGAATGTCCAATTGGTAATGATAACTTTGTTAACGCATACAGCTCGACTTTAGTAATTTGCTAATAAACTATTACTGTGAACATCAATCAGTACAATTGTTCAGTGGTTTAGAAGATTTAAGGAATGAATTTCGACTGTGGAATGGACCCCAAATACTTGCTTGTAAGAAGACTTAAGGAAAGGTGAAACAATCCTCCACTACTAGCTACTATTTGATCTTTGCTAGATTAACGTTTTACAGACGGTTATGTAAATTGATTTTCTATTTTTACACAGCAGTATTGAAGTCATTAGTAAACATTTAGAGATGACTAAGCGTTTCTTATTTCTTATATGGCACATTGTTCATACTAATTATTCTTGTTTTAGAAGTAACCCTGACAATTTAATGGCAGTAATACTGCAAAGAAAGAGATTAATGGAGATGTATGTAAGCCAAGTGATAGGACGGTTAAAAAGGAGACTAAACACCGAAGAACATTTTTAAACAAACGTGAGTATAAATTTATTAGTCGTTTTATTCACCAATTTTAATCAATCGATACAGTTATTATTCCACTAAATCTTAAAAATACCAATTATCTAATCCAAGTTTTTCTAGATGACTGAAAGGTTACATGAGCTAATAAAAGTGTGTCAAATATAGTTCTGTATTCAGATTTCATTTAGAATAGGATTTCTTGCGGTTTGTGCCAATGCTCTTCATTCAACTATCACTGATTATCTGTTCACCTGTTAACAAGTGAGTTGAAAACAGAAAGTAATTCTTCTGAGAGTTGTTTCTGTTAATAACTCTGAAAAGGAAACTGTACTGAATAGTAGTACAATTCGTTCTTAGTTTTGGTCGTCTCCCGTTGCATCCTTTGGGGAATTTAGACATCATAAGTAGGAAAGAAGTGAACAGATTAGATTTATAGTTGTTCATTAAGATTATGCACTCTTCCAGAAGTGCTGATACCTTCACGCAGCTGTTGCAGTAATTTCGCAAGGAAGAAAAGGTACCTACTGTTTGGAAGAAAGAATAACTTTTCAAACTACCAAAGAAGTGAGACGTAAGGCTTTTCAGTAACTGGAGCGGAATCATGTATTTGGACACCCAAAGACAAAATATTAAGTAACATTATACTGAAAAGAATGAAAGGTGCTCTAGATGCTAAACTTCTCCTGGAACAAGCTGCATTTGCGAAGCGTAAATCATGGGTGGATTGAATTGCGATGATACGCAACATAACCTAACACAGCAAATAATGGCAGCCAAATCTGTACCATAACCTAGTCACCATTCGAAAAGCCTTCGACAGCGTTGACAGCGAAGTAATTCAGAGACTTTTTCGAAAGAAAGGAGTGCCTGAAACCTTTGTCAAAGTCATTCAGTGGATATATGAAAACTAATAAAGAAAGCACAGAAGTACGTGCAAAATAAGATGGTACCATTATTGTTTTCGTCAGCCTTTCATTAGCTGCCTACAGCCTAGAGAAATTACTAAGATTATGATATATGTGTAAAACTTGGGCACTGTGGTAGTAAGTAATTCCATATTAGTTTGTTTATTAGATATATCACACAGTGAAACAGTATTATTTACTGGATGACGTTTCGAACAAAATTTATTGTTCATAATCATATCAATTATAATCACACGACTTCGAAACTTGAGTTTTTTAGTTTTCTTTGTCCTTTGTGTCTCTCCTCCTCTCTCCTACCCTTACGACAAATAGGAGAGGATATTGGGTGCATTAGTGGTATGTCTGAATGCATATTTGGTCATGGTAAACGAACGAGCTGAAGACTGCACTTGAGTGATTTTAAAATTTGGACAAATGGCTTTGAGTTGTTTGTCACATATCATGCTGGGTGCCTTATAACTGAATCCTAAATTCGTCGGTGGCTAAGTGGTAGAATGTTCGCCAACCACGAATGTGGTCCGGGATTAGATCCTCGTCTGGCACACTCTTTCACCCCGGTAAGCAGGTGGTAAGACTGGTAAGGAGGGGAGGTTGGGCATGAGGCTAGCAACCCCACTCCGTAAAAGAAACACTCCTTCTACTGAAACTTCAAAGCTCTAGCCTGAAGCCCCAAATTCCACTGGGAATGTAAAGAAATGAAGTAAAATAAAAAAATAATAAATTCGTTTCATCTAGAAGGTATTTGTGTTGGTCTAACTAGATTTTCAAAGGAGTCACTCTCCATCATTATATTAAAGTAGTTTACCATCATGCTAAGGATCTATGATAACTATGTGTTCGATCACACATGACTATGAATAGCTGTTCCATCGTGGAGTGGCACTCAAAACGTCATCCGTAAATAATACTATGTCAGTATGTGCTTTTATCAAGTAAAACTATTCAGAGATACCTTTATCTTCTACTATAATGCCAAAATTCTACTCCTATGTTTGTATGTATGTCATGTTCGAACGTCAAGTATTATAGCTTATACACGTCTTACAAATGCCGTTCTCGAAGTTATTATATTATCGTTTAATGGTGGCTGTGAGATAGGATGAGATAGATAAGAAGAGGGTCAGAGTATATCGTTACACTGTTTGAGTGACCGACTGACTGAGTGATTGACTGCTTGACCAAAACTGAAGTTTGCACGAAAAATTTGGTTTGATTTGTAACACTTTGGAATAGCACATAAAATAAGACAAAAAAAAAACAAAATGATGTTAAAACGTTAGATTTTGCTTACAAATGTTTTATACAGCAGAATTTTGTTTTTGCCGAAAAGTCTTAATATGTGTCTTTTACTTCCAAAAATTTTCCTTTCGACTTGTCTTATAATAACTTCCTTTTCTAGGCGAAGTTCAACAATAGTGTCCCGGAGGTGCGAATGCTCCAGTGAGGTTGAACGTATGTTAGTCGTTGGCTAACGACACCCGTCATTATTATAGCGCAAGTATGAACGCTGTTCACCAACTAAGGAGCAAATTTCACCCAGATCACGTTTTTAAGTATTATTTGGACAATTTGTTAATTGCTCGTTAGGGTTAGGATCAAGGTTATAACCAGGATTGGGGTTAGGATTACGGTTAGGGTTACGATTAAGGACAGATTTAGAGTTGATGTTATTTGTTTTAATTTACTTTACTATCCACATTTCCCTGGTGAGTAGTCATCGATCCTCATCCTGGAAACCATAGTAATTCAACTGAGGGCTTTCGGGGAAGACTGCGAAACACGAAAGGAACGATAAATGGAAGGAAGCTCATTTTAAGTCACGTGACTTAAGCTACCTCAGTGAAGGCATGTACAAGAACTGTTCTAACTTGAAAACTGATACTCATTATAACTAGGATGTATTTTTAAGTTGTGTCAGAGAAAGATTTTTATGCATTTTCTTGTAAATAAATATCATATTTTGTGCAAAAGTCGCCTATTTTTTGGTTGGTCGACTTAAGGTCACTCATGCGTTCGTATCCCGTTGGATGCTATTGTGTAACTTTGCCCTTTTCTAAGCATTTTTGATGCTGAGTTTGTCCGCAATGGCCTTCGGAGTGACATAATATCATTGAAGCTAAGGATGATGATTGAAGATAAAATTTAAATCTAAGATAAAAACAGGTTTGTGAGGATTGCTTCCTCATTTTTAAAGAGTCCACATCATCCCCTGCGTAAAATATCCCCACTTCTTAGTGCTTACTCTGAGGAAACTATTTTTAAATTGTTTTCTTCATTTAACTTTTAAGTGTGCAAATTCAATGAAAATTTACAAAACAACATTCCTCTCTGTTACCCTATATCATCTTATTTCATATCACATGAATACTTTTGATACCAAAACAATTTTTGCAAATTTAGTTCGCACTAAAATGTCTTGTTTCATTTTTATTCTTTAGTTCATTTTGTCACTGTTTAATTTTAGATAAATGTTTCATCCCAAGTAGGAATGAAAAACTTAAGAACTTAAATTTAAAACCAAATAAAGAAGGACTTTCTAATGAAGTTGAAAATCTTTCTGTTAAAGATGAATCCGCTAATAACAAGCCAGAAAACAATAATACTAAAAAGAAACGAATAATGAAGCCAGCGATGAAATTAGTGCCTGATGCTACGGTAAGTGAAACTAATATAAATAAGTCTCACTTGAACAAGTTCAGTGTTGTCTTATGATGGACAAATTTATTTCGTTTCTTAAAAGAGAATATAACTGCTTTTATCAGACATATTTATCAACTAAGCTGATTTACTCGATAAAATCGTATCCACCATAAGATTGATATTTCTGCTAAACGAAAATACACAACTCATTAGTTGATCAAAAGAAAAAGACATAAACAGTGAAGAAAATTGTCTTTTCACAAGCTGAAGCAAAATTATAGCAAGAATGTTAATCTAATCCCTGTAGGATGAGCGAATATATATAGTGCTATAAAATGCAGAAAAGAAGAATACCAGTAGCACTAACCTTGAACACTGTGTCAACTGAAGACACAGAGCACTCCTGTATGACTGCTTCACCGTGATACACAGAGCTCCTGATTATCTCACAAAACGACTTCCGATAGGCCATCTATATATAGTTCGCTTTTAGAGATCTGAAGCCGGATTTCTACGTTCAAAAGCACTACATGTGTCCACTCGCCCTATTGTGGCCAGGGTGACGTTCTTACCATAATTTTACTTTATTTTATTATGTATTTTTACTATTATTATTGCTACTATTATTATTCTCATTATCTTTATTGTCACTCTGTTATTTTTTTATTACTGACACAGATTTTATGAAAACACTTGATCATCTTTCCAATAGTTTTTGTCCACTCTACACAATTGTATTGGATACTGGTTTTTTTTCACACTTATTACATCATCCTAACTCCTGCCCCCTTTCTTTAATTTCCAATCAGTCATCCCCTTCTAGATTACACCTTACATTATGTAATGCACTTCTTGGAAGAAATTTATGACTATGTCATTTGGTCTTATGAATTCTTTGTTAAACATAATTACGATTGTGTAGCTTATGAAAATGAATCGTCAAAAGGAAAATTTTCCTCTCTGTTTACATATTTTCCGAATGACTGATTATGGAAATATTCCGTTCATTAAAGAAATAGCTGACAGGACCAAAACTTTACATTCATTCACAGTTGACTTTCATGTCAAAGTTGATCAAAAGCAAACTTCATTAGCCTGTGTTACCTCATGACGACAGTAACAGATGTATTGGACAAAAGTTCACTTCTCTGAGTTAAGTCTTTCAGAATAACTAAAATATTCATTCAGACATCTATAAAACACAAAATAATTGAGCAAAGAATATCCTTTCCGATGATTTCCTCTTCTGGTTCTACAATTATATATATGCTCATATACATATACGTAGAATATTCCAGAATAGTAGTCAATGACAATATTAGTGTTTTTTAAATAATATCGATTTGTTAAGTAAGGTCACTGGAATTACATTTCACTAAAGATGCATAAACTATAATAATAATAATAATACAATAACAAATAGAATATCAACTAAAATTAAGGAAATTTCTACAAAAATTGAGAATCATTCGAATCTAAATGGCCAAGGTAAGGACAATGTCTGAACTAGCTTCTTTTGAACACATAAATTAGGCTTCTTAATGTGGATCCCAATGGCCTCAGCAATATTTAGTAAACGAACTCTTAAGGCGAAGTTAAGATTTGTTGGTATGCGGTAAATGACTTTGAAAGCCTTGTTGACATCAATCTTGTGTTCTGTATCTACAAGATGAGATAGATTAGCACTACGAATGGATTTTGTTTGTTCCTTACTTAACCACGCAGGGTGATGTCGGGAAATCCGATGAGAAACACGCCTAATTGTACGGCCTAAGCAACTAACTGGCTGCATAGGAGCAGTTAAATTGGTAGATATACATGGAAGAGGCAAAATTGGGCAGTTTCTGTGTTACTCCCGAACGCAAAAGAGTGGTTTTGAAGACAGTGTAATTCAGCAGCAGGGAATGCTCTTTTTACTGCATTTCTAAAGCGTTGTGTTAGTATATCGCTGATGTTATCGCCGAGGAACTGAATTTAGAAGAATAAGATCTTTTTAGAAACTGTTGGTACCTTGGGCTGCTATGATTTCAGATTCATATTCTTATAAATAAACTTTCCTGGATAACCGTTTTCACTCAGCAACAATTTAATATTATTAAGTTCCTCATTGAGACATTCACCCGAGCAGATTGTCCTTGCTCTGTGAACCAAGAACTTTATCAGATTGCGTTTGTATTTTAAGGTTACGAAGCTGAAAAAAATGAGTATACTGACCCGCTGATGTAGGTTTTTTTTATATAAACTTCTATTTATTGTGCTTTCCTCTTTTCTGGTCATAAGGACGTCTAGAAATGAAATACTAGAGCCATAGCCTTTTAAAGTTTGACTGTATGACTCGAGAGGCAGATAAAAGAATATATTCATGTTCTGTACAATAAACTAAATTACGTTAAGCACGTATTCAGCTTAAGTCATGCTATAGTGAGTGAACAAGTAGAATATGTTGAACACTTCAGTTAATTCGCAAAATATATAAGCTGCTCTGCAGGAGATAAGAAGAATATTTGATATTCACCTAAATTTACCACCGATGATATTGTCAAGAAGTTCGACAACATATCACAAGGCTGGCGTGCTGCTTAATGGTTGTAATATATAGCTAAACAAAAAAGTATCGAAGGATATAGACCATTAGCCTATTCAGAGCATCACTTACGCTTAGTGGGACCACAGGGTAGAAAACTGCAAGTGCAACCCAAAATGGTCGAATACCATTTAACCAAACAACATCACCGAGAGGACAGAGATCACAAGAATCTCTCATTTCTCCCTTCGTCATCTGCTCCATTGCTCCGCTATCCAATAATCTCTCAGAAGACATAATACATAATAAACTACTTATAATATCATGCTAGTGGCACATGACATACCCGTTGTCCACGTCAAAAAGTTTCTAGCCGAGCCACTCTGACCTCTCCGCTTCTGTTTGTGTGTTGGTAGCGGCTTTTTCATCACACTGTATCCCTCTTTGGAGCTGGTTTGCGTTTACACTACTATTTCTGCTGTTGCTACTCCTCAAATATGCATATGAATCTGCCATGCATTGTGTTTTCATATCATTCTGACACTTCCTGTGATATCTTGCTTCGTCAATCAAATTCACATCATTTATTAAGGTCTGGTGCTTTATATTTGTCCAGGTAAACAGTTTTATGATAAATAAAAGTAATTCAATAATTACCAGCCTTCCATACTGAACTCACGATTATTTACTTTAGATAATATTAACTTTGGATATTTGCCGTAGAATACTTCATATGATATTTAGCTCGACATGTATACACACCAAATTTCACATGTGTATTTCATCTTTCACATTCTTCATAGCTTTCTGACTTTCTGGTCTTAATAGTTTAATGTTAGAAAAATCTTAGTGTTGTTATGATATACTCATTCTTTGAATAACATGGGCACACAAGCAAATAACACCAAGAATTATATTCGCTCAGTTAAAGCTTATCATTAGTGTGAGAATATTCATTCTTAATCGGTTAAGCGTATTCTCTGCTAGTCAATACATATTTCTATGTCATACTCCCCACAGCATTTTCTAAATTGTAAGACGAGAAATTGAAAAATTGTTGTTGTTCATATACTTCCCTTTTTTTTTCCATTTGTTTTCAAAACAGCTTCTTAGCAAACAGATAAGTGGATCAGGCAGACTTGTTTTCGACAATGAAGGCAATTTAATCAGTGTACCTAAGTTATATCCTACTAATAATAATAAGCAATTAGAGTCAACAGTGATTACCAGCTGTACAGAGTTGACTAGTAATCTTCTTGGAAAGAAAATCCCGATTCAATGGTATTTTCGAACGGATTCACTGGTTCATGGAACTCACAATCAGCATGAACCAACCTCTAGTACTAATAATTCTATTAGGAATAAAATTAAAACAGCCAGATCATCAGTGTGTAGTGTAAGTTGGTTGTGTCATTCGTGTGCGTGTGTGTGTCATTTATCATTCTTTAAACCGTGTAAAAATGCCGTTGACTGTAGTCGCTTTGTATCTTTTGTTCGGAAAATTGTTAACAGTATTAAAGGAAATTTGAAATTGGAGCTATCATTGAAAGAAAATACATTGGGTATGCTGTTATACTTATTCGTAGGTCAAAACACTCATGTCAACGTTGTTTTATTGTGAAGCTTAACAGAGTCAAGTGAGAAACTAATAAATCAGGTATGCCAGCAGCAATATTTTGAGCGCTAATAACTGTTGGAAAATCTGCAGGCACTAGACTTATTCGGCTTGAACAGACCGACGTTCCTGAAGGTAGATGATAAAACATCCAAATGATTTCACAACATAGAGCATTCTGTGACCTAATTAACATATATAGTGACTGCAATACTTGTGTAATTCTTTTACATCAGGAAGTTGATAAATTGATTAGAGTATTGTGATCTGACATACCCTTCAAATTAATTGACACTTCCGTTACTAGCAGTCTAGTCACTTATTTAGTGACAGCCAACGTAATGCGGCCGAATAATTTGTGTTTTGTGAACGGATAAGAACACAGATATTTTCATTAAACAATGCAGGGAAACCAACTGTAAGAAATTGACAATGAAAAGCTCTTCTGAAAATCACACGGAGACAATGGAACATTTCAATAACTCCAAACAAAGAGATACAATTTGGATATGAACCCTTGCATTTGTGTAGGTTTATTCACTTCAGTGTAACAAATCTAATCTGTATATGTTACTGTGTATTAAGATTAGATGAAAACCAACCAACCATCATTATAAACCGTCTGTGCTTGTTATCCAGATGAAATTGACCCTAACACTAGGCAACTATGTCACTAATCTGCAACTAAGCTCGCAAGTGGTGCAATCGAAAAACCAAGCAGACTTGGACAAGTGAATTAAATCAAGCGTAGGCATTATGTGCTAGCTCACCTCGTCCGTGTAAATAATTTTTAACTGCCCTTACTGATCAGTACCATACATTATGCAGATTTCTTGCTGATTTCTCCTAACTCACTCATGATGTCCTTTCGATTATGGTTTGTAATACTAAAATATTCGTCTTCGAAAAAATATTTCAAAGACTTGAATTGATTCTACAATAGGTTGAAAACATAAAAGACAATCAGTGCCTAATATCAGAGAATCAGAAGAGTAGTAGTTACAACAGAATATTTTGGCAAAGAAACCAATAATTTGAAGTTTGTAGTCGTAAAGTTGAAGGGTGACACTTATTTGGTGTATTCACGTGTAGCAATAGTACAACCAGTCATATGTAGGCCGAGGCACGAACTCAAACACAAACGAATATCTGGTGACCAATCGACATACTGAGCTCGATACCATGCACAACGGTTCATTCAAATGATGCATTCACAAAGTCAGGATCAAAATATATCATCGAAGTAATATATACATGATTTTGTGGAGTAACGGAGAAGGATGGTGAAAGAGAAGATGAAGCAATACAGAGATGGACGACAGAAGAGAAGCTAACTTCAGTGAAGAGTGCTAGGGTGACCTATTTCTAGTGTCACACGAATTCGAAGATCTACAGGCGAAAACCAAAACGGCGGCAGAACAGGCAGGTGGCGAAGACTGAACTTCAAGTGAGCGTAGAGAAGACGGAGGTGATGATGATAGCCAACCAACCGAAAACAACAAGCATCGATCACTATCAACGGGAGAAACTCGAAAGAGGTCACTTCCTTCACTTGTCTAGGCAGCACTGTTTTAACCGCAGGCACACGTCACGGATGAGGATGTCAAAAGTAGAGTCGGAAAGGCGAGACAGGCCTTCATCACTCTGAGATCAGTTTGGAAGTTCTCTGCACTTAGTACGATGAACAGAATTCAGATTTTCAACACCATTGCCAAGTCAGTGAGTGCTTCTATATGGTTCGGAAAATTGGCACGTCACGCAAAGCATTTCTAACAGCTAGCTGCAGACTTCTATGAACAGCGGCTTTGGCTGTATACTGAAGATCAGATGACCATACAGAAAGAATTAGGACCGGGAAACTGTGGGAAGAAGCCAATCAGGAAAGTATTGTTCAGCAGATATGGCGCAGAAAATGAAGGTGTGGGAAATCACTTAGTGAGGCTGCTTGGACGACTTCGAGTTGATTTCGGTCTGATTCTAACTAGAAATAACTGTCATGATTGCTGTGTGGCCAACTATTCTGCTTGACATGGGCTCTGGCCACACTGCCTGCTGACCATTTAACCTGGCCCACCTAATCTAGTCTCCAGGGTGTTGTTAACACCGTTCCAAATAGTGAAGGAAGAATATAACCCTAACGCCTGTTCAAAGATGTATTTACTAACGATGATGCTAAGAGAGTATAGAAATACACAATCAACACAACATAGTCGCTGAGCTCTTGTCCCTTGAAAATTCAATTGTCTACCATGTGTGCCAATCCGCACAGATAAACAAATTGATCATTGAAGGTGAAATGGTTGAGGTTCAATTGGTTTGATGAACTTCTGTGATCCCTTACATTGCATTTTATTTTGAAGAAGTGCTTCTTTCTCCTATGATGGACCGGTTGCATGCTGGAGAGTCTGTCGGTTCACACTTCTCACCAGTCCATCGGCGTTTACCGTATTTTGAAACGACGAGTTTAGCATCGCTTTTTGACGTGGTGGTGAGCTTATGTGAAGAAATTTTAAGTTAATGGGCAATTGTGGATCAGCTTTTGGCGGCTGTAGAGAGGAAAACAAAATGAAGATGTGCTTTTGAAGTCCCAGTTTCCACTTGGATCCCGATAGAAGAATAATTAGAATGACAGTTGCAGCAAGGTTTGAAAGGAATAATAAGGCTATAGGTATTGTATCAGATTAGAAGGTTTGATGTATGAATAAAAGCAGAAGCTGGCATTAAAGTAAAGTAAATTATAAAGAGTAACTAAAATGCAATAAATTTTAGACCACTGTGTTATGGCTTTAATTATTTTCTATCCTTTCTTTACTAAAAGGACATTGAGCTTAGAAATGTTATAAATTTTCGTTTGCGGTGGTATCGATTTTGCAGGGCGGTCTTACTCAACCCACTCCTAAGTTTCCCTCTTTCTCTTTTCTTAGTATCGGTTGGTAAACTACACGGTTTAGGAGTAAGTCACCAGAGAGTCGAACGCAGACCCCCTGCGTGACCATTAAGTCTTCCACTATTGAGCAACTAACTTAAATAAACGATAGTTTTTGATTCAAATGGTGCTGATTTCTTCATCAAAGTGATAAAGTCACCGATGCCATGGTATACGTAATTCACTTAATACCTATTTTAAATAAGACTATTGTGCAAGGATCTCTGAATACACTTATCACACTAGCCAGTATTTTTGTTGACCAGAAATCATCCACGAACTTAATGAAGTACCAATTAACTCTGTAACCGTAAAGTTGGAGAGTCCATTACTGCAGTCAAAAACGAATATTGTATAATTTTAGTAAGTTTCGTAATTTGGTGAATAGCCAGAAAATATTTTATCTTACAATTGACTTTGGATGAACTGTAAATTCTAAATGCATTTTTAATGACGGTTCTTTCAAATCAGCCGTGGAGTGTTCAAAACATGAATCCCTGGAGAGAAGACGATTTTGATTGGCTACTGGATAGTAACCAGTGACCAGCGTCCACTCTGTGGATGTGGTACTGGTTGAGATATATCAGCCATAACTATAATGAAGTCACCAAGCTAGGTAACTCATAGCCGAGGCATAATTTGAATTGATGTTATGCGGTTGGAGGCGATAGGCAGGAAACCACTAATGATATTATCTGATCATATAGAAAACTTTGTTTTACTTGACAAAAAATATTCTCTTTTACACCCCATTCTTCTTTAGACTACAAATAATAAAACAAGACAAAGAAATCGAAGTTTAGAGTCAACTGAATACATAGTTGATCCTGAAATGATACGCTTACAAAAAATCAAGAACTCTTATGCAAATATACCGAACGCAACTGATTTGGTTGACCTAGTGTTAGGTGTTACAATATCGGATGGAGACCACCTGAAGATTGGTCGGTTTGTGGTAAGTAATCAGTCGTTTTATTATGTGGCATTATATTTATGTAAATAATTATTTTGTGAAAAAGGATTTATAGTTAAATTTGTTGAAATAGCATACGAACAGTCTTCAGTCTGTGTGATTTAACTCTGCTTTTGTTCATCTCCATTCACCATCCACTTAAAACGTGATCAGTCCAACAGTAGCAAACAAAACGGTTTCAGTCACTTTAGTTTTAGGAGTATTTTATGGTATTCAAAAGACCTGAAGATACGTATAGTGGCAGCACTGCTCTAAACGTAATCACTAAAGATATTTCTGAAGAAATTTACTTGATGTACAACTTTTCAAGGAAGCATAAAACTAGTTCTAGCTTGACAGGATTTTTAGTGGTATGAAGGAAGATTTTGACATGGATGGACATCAGTCAGAGAACCATTGAAAATCAGAAGATTTCGGGAAACCAGTCCATTTTAGTTGTGGAAATTGGCGCAGTATTAACCCCTGCCCCCACCAGGGAAAGAAACAAGGTTTGTGTCATTATTTATGAAGAAAACTGCACTGTTCTGCAAACACCATGATAACATTTTGAGCTTTAATCAAGGGTCTGTTTATCAATAAATTTATTCTGCTAATATTAGTAAGGTTGTTCTCGGTTAATGAGAAAGACAACTGTATAATCAGCATCAAAATAATCCCTATAGGATACAGTGTTATCGTTTTCTCTCCGCAGAATAAGAAAGCTTACACAAGCCATAACTTGCAGTTTATAATAATGGTAGCTTTAATTTGGACATTATGTTTGCATACAGTACAGAATTCTCAGTATGCTTTATGGTGAAATATCCGCTCCCTGTATAGGAGCTCCAAAAAGAAAAAGATAGCAGTATTTCACCTGGCATAACATTGTTCGGTTTGAAGCACGACCAATCCATACAATATTTTTACTTCATTTCCTTAGTGGTAGGTTGAAAGCTATTTAATAAGGAAGGGAATAATTACAGGTTGCGATTCAAGAAAATTGTATGAAATGGTTACAACTTTATGAAATGAAGTCATTTCGATACATTAGGATGTATGGAGACTAAGTAACCAAGTGATTTGGACAAAGTACCAGTAGAATTACCATAATGACTGAATAATCTGTCAAAGTGGCTTAATCGATTTGTTCGATACAAAGAATAAAACAGATTATCTTGGGTACTTTGACTGATAAATACAGTGTGACTTGGCTAAGACTGAAATCAAAACCCAATTTGCCGCTGACTGTAGACCGATTATTAGAATCTGACAGGTTTCTTTTTAAAATGATATCATTATTCCATGGTGTACACAAACCATCTGTGACTATAATCAGTCAAGAAAGTATGACTTTCACTGCGGTTGACCGCTTGTCTTATTTCTTTAGCGTTTGGTCCAACATATGACTTCATCGTTGTATGTGATTGAATTAAACTCAATCGCTTAGCTTAACAGTCTACCTAAAACAAAAATGTTGCAGCATAAAACCGATGAAATCACTCCTGGAGACACAAACAAGTCATCTTAATCTTACTACCAACATTTCCTTGTTGATTAGTTTCAATACCACATGACAACTCATGTTTTAGTAATAATATCTCCCTATATATTATTAGTAAATTGTTCCTTACAAATCAGACGAGATTCTCCTCAAGAATGTAAGTTCTTTTTCGGTTAACTCATGACATATGATTAGTGATCATCACAATATTTATCTTCTGATTAACAGGTCATGCAAATACGCCCAAATTAACATGGCTGTTCATTTGAATAGATGTTACACCGAAATATGCATGGTATTATACACTGAGTTAGTTTGTGACAGACATTAATGGATATTTGGGAGTGTTAAGATAATGTAAACTACTACCAAAGTATTTCGGATTGTTCACTGTCGTTTTCCTTAGGCATCAGTATTTCGAACAGTGTATGGTTGCCAGTTAGTGCGTCAGTGGCATAGCGGTTAAGACGCTCGCCGACCATGCACATGGTCCGGGGCTCGACCTCCGGCCGACGCACTCCTTTACCTCGCTAAACCAGAAATAATGCTGGTGAAAAGAAAAGGTTGGGCATGAGGCTAGCAACCTCATCCTGTAAAATAAACACTGCTACAGAAACTTCAAGCCACTAGCTTGAAGCCCTATGTTCTACTGGGGAACGTGAAGGAAAAAAAATGGTTGCCAGTTGATTGTTGATGGGACACTTCACCAATGATGAACTGTGTAGGAGGAATGCAATTTTACTTATATTTGAAATCTGAAATCTCCTAGTCTTCCATTCATTTCTGATGAGGTAAAGTTTGGGATTCATTTCAAAAGTTTATGCTGAACAAACGACTGTTGATTCCGCTCTCTGTGTTGAGTCAACCTGGAAGACACCACTAATTTAGGCGACTACAAACTAGCAAAACAGCTGTCTCGTAGTTAGATTACTTTGATCTGGTTAGAAAGGACTAATGTCTGAAATGAGTGGTTTTTAATTACTCATATTAATCGGTAGTACTTGTTGATCAAGTCAGCGAGTAGAAAAGATTCCCGACCAAATAGTTAGTTGTACTTTATTTCGTAGTGGTTGATAACGTTGTTTCACAATGAAAAAGAATTGCTAAATTATATGTGTTTTGTGTGTTTGCACCTCTGTGACTAACTCTTATTCCCTCTAACTGTATGATGCATGCAACACAGACACCAAGTACCTCACTCGTGTTCGTCACATAAACTGGTTCACTTGGACATTAGTTACATATTTTGAGTGGACTGTCTAGCAGTCCTGTCGAATGAGAATGTGTTCTTATAACGTTTCAGATTTCCCAAAATTCTGTAGACTGAAGTCAGTAGGCGACTTTCAGCCTATGTTTGATGAATGTTAGCATTCTCCAATAACATACACCTTCAACTTTGGAAGAATTGATTCTCCCTTAGAGAGTAAAATCTAGCAAAGAATAGTTTTGACAACCGTTGATCTCCTTCTTATACAACTAGAACAAATATTATGATTAGTTATAATAGAGAAGATTTGTAGCTCAGGTGGATGATTTTGGTGTGGTTGTGTTCTCTGAGCTGGATGGTTTGGTTGCGAAGCCTTCATTGCTCTACTGAGCAACATCTTCAGCGCATACTTCGATGTGAAGTGAGCTTTTAGAATTCTCTATGAGTTTATTAGTCATCTCTTCTAGTAACCCTGAACGTGATTGGTTGTTTTCGTGTGACATTTCACCCCCTAGTTTGCTTGTCTCGGTGCTGGCTGCTTCTTTGGTCTGAATGTCGTTGGTCATTCCTTCTGCTAACCTTGAACGTGATTGGTTGTTTTTGTGTGACTTCTCACTTTCTAGTTCACTTGTTTTGGTGTTGACTGTTTCCTTGACCTGAAGTTTGACTTTGTTTTTGTGTGAATTTCTTCGTATGGATTGGTATATTTTGTCAATCTCTATGTGTCTATTGATTGCTGATTCATTTGAATACCAGGCCTCTAGGAATTCTCCGGCATTTTTGCAGTTCCCTTTATCTAAGATTTGAACATTGTCCCAGTCGAATTGGTGCCCGTGGTTGTCTGCATGTAGTGATATGAGGGAGTGTATGTCGTGTCTTTTGACAGCTAGTTTGTGTTCGTGAATGCGAAGACGAAGAGGGCGTCCACTTTGACCAATGTAATGTTTGTCGCAGTCGTTGCAACTTATCTTGTATAAAGTAATTGCTAATGATTATCGTTGGTATGTTAATTTAATTTTTATTCTTATACATCTCCCATCCCTATAGAATGATAAATTTTCTTCTATCCTAAACATTAACTGGGATGGTCTTGAAGAAATTCCATCGGTAAAGGCCAACTGAAAAGTGTTCAGTTAACCAACTGATGTCTTTAACTTGTGCAGCTGGATAAGTCATCAAGAAAAAAAGTTGAAAAGTTCATTCATGGTTATATTTAATTCATTATTATTTTTTTAATCTTTCTTCCTTCGTGTAAATTTTGACAAATACATTTGTTTCAGTTGATTTTATCCTGTATCTTTGCATAAGAAATAGTTAACCTTTATTGAAATGTTGAACTTGATCACTTTGCTTTCTTTCTTTGAATTACGATACTTTAAAACCACTACACTTCCACAAATTCTCAAAGGGTTTGGTGTGTTTTCTACAAACTGTATTGCTCTTCTTCTTCTCCTCGATGAATGACTTTTTTTAGTAGTTTTGACAGATATGTCAGAGGATTAAAGTTTATTCATCACAGAAGACAATTTTAATTAAAGTAGGAGTAATTGAAATAGTCGAGTAGCATCAAGCGATCATCCAGCCTAAAAATGTTTCAAATAGTGTGACCAGTGTCTCATTTATATATTGAATCTCTGTGACTTGAATACTAAATATTCTTAGATGCCAATAATAAGTAAGTATTCAAAAGTCTGGATTGTATTATTTCAGATTGTATATTTACGAAATATTTTATGCAGTAACTTAATCCAATGTCTTCACCAAGCTTCACTTTGATAACTTTTGAATAATGATGTTTAACGCTATCAGAGTGGATTCTGACTGATGCTTTTGTTGATGTAGGTCTTCATCAACATCTCCGAAGTAATCACCTACAGACTGAATAACTAATAAATATACACAAAGTATGTTGGTCTAAATTATCACAGTTGGAAAAAATATGAGTAAAAATGGAGAGAAAAAAACAGAACGAAAATACACTGGATGAAGATGTGTGGCATGCAAAATACTTAAGTGACGATTGAATAGTATTTACTGGTGACTGATTTGAGTGGTTGGCTGTCCGTATACTAGTTTGGAATTTCATGACTGGTAAATTCTAACATGTGTAGGTTTGTGATATGGCCTTACATCCAGTCGATATCATCGGAGATTATCTGTTTTCAAACCCGCCTTGATTAACTCTATCGGTTACGTTTTGTTTTCTTTTGAGCTCCAACAGTTGGTCGATATAAGAAGAGAACTTTGGCACTGTATTAAAGTATAATTTCATCATATAGTAAATTTATTTGATAAAGTGTTTCGGTGTTATATAGTATTATTTATTGATGACATTTCGAGTACAGTTTATTGTTCATAATCATATCAAGGTACTCATAAAACTTTCCGACTTCGTTTATATTACTCCATTATTTCTCACCGTAATTTTGAAAATACGTCTAATCATAAAATTCTAGATACTGACAGTTTGAACAGACATGAAGGTGTCATTTTAGCTGATGCATGGTAAATCCCGATCAATAAATAAAGAATGCATATGTATCACTAATCATATCTGGTCTAAAGTCGCACTTGTCTATATTTTCTTATGGAGAGACTAACAGATATTTTACAACTGTTTACCCATACACACACACACACACCATTGTATACCTCATATACACTTATATTTTCAAATTCAGTTATCTACGACCATGATCTTTTAGTCAAACGTGATTACTAAAATTCTGATGAAAATTACATTCTGTTTAAAGTGTTTAAAAAAAGGAGACTAATATTTGTAAGTTTGAGGTCAAATTTTGACCAGAGCTCATACAATTTTGTTTATTATATTTTAATGACTGTTTCATGACTCATGTGACTGAACAGAGTTTTTAAAAACAAGAGATGTTTTTTTATATATAAACCTCTGTTATGTTAATTTCGATTAATTTCCCTGAATAAGTTCGGACGAGTTTGCTGAATGAAACGTTGGAATTAATCATTTCAATTTCGCTGAGATTTTACAAATACAATTTTTACAAATGTCTACTTCTCACTCGGCGCCCAATTATTTTGGAACTGTTCTGTCAAATCTTGATCACAGTTCATATGAATTATTCAAAAGATCCTTAATAACCAGAGCATTTCAGTTCTGGGGAGAATAGAATATAAATATCTATTAACTATCTTCGGGATAAGCACATACCCCCACAGTGTCAATAAAATTGTCTAAACTCGGATTGAATTACCAGCCAGAAAGCATCCTCAGAAATCATGAGATATGTAAAGAACATTTCCGAAATAACAGCTAGAATAATAAAACTATTCGACATAGATACCACGCGCAAACCAACACAGTCACTTCATGCAATACTATGCAAACCAAAAGATGAAATAGCAAAAGAAGATAGGAGCAACACCATCTACAAAATAAATTACATAAAAAGTCAATTTGGGTATCGCTTTCGACTCTGATTGAACACATCGTAGCAACTAGCGTTATGCATCTAGGTTTTAGTGTTGGTGCACACTGAGTTCCGTTAGCACTAGGTGACACTGTAACGTGATGATGAATTATCAAGCACAGAGGCCACAGTGCCAACTTGATTGATAGAATTCAGTCTGAACCAACACAGGGTCATATACATGGATGAATGAAGTTGATTAGGTCCAATTAGATTATGAAAGCAGAAAAAACTTGGTGAAATCTTCACTAGTGGATCCCAGTGTGATAAGAAAACTACAGAAAGCTGAAATACAGAACATCATGTCTTTACACGCGATCATATAATAAACAGTAATAAAGTTATAGTCTTACAACCTAATATCATAGTGTAGAGGAAAAGACTCATGACCGACAAGTAAGAATGATTCAACACTTGCCCCTATATTTTAGGCAAATTCCATCTTTTTCCATTTCAAAAGCATAAAAACTGATGGTATGATGAGCATTCAAAGTAATTGTCATTTCTGAGACGCCGTAACGTATTTCATTAAATTCGCACTTTCCCGTTGACTGATTGGACCGAAGTGTTCGATCTCTGTTGACATGTCACCTCCCTGTGTGGATTCTTCGACGATGTCTGAGGATATAACTTGAAGTAATTTGGTGGGTGGTGACTAGCAGTGGAATCCAGGATGCATATTTCGTCCCATTCGGGACTCTCCATCGGGATTTACCTGCACTCCCCAGAGGGTCACTTTGTTCCTACTGAGGTTGGTACCCAGTAACCGTCGTTTCAAACTCCGAAGAGTAATCCGCTAGACCACATGGGACACGACAGTCACTTCTTGTGCAACGGTTACAAGTTATTATTTAATTCACTTTCGACTTTCCCTACCAAATATGCTATTGTGTTTTGTATTCATCTAGTAGGCAGGTGCTGCTAAATACTTAAAGCTTGAGCTAACTTATTTTTCCATGTTCGATTTGTTTGAACCTATCAACCTACTGAAATGTGACATTAAGTCCCATTGTATTCTCTCATGAATATTTAAAATACTTAAAACCTGTGGGCTTACAAATTTCCACTAAAACTAAGAAAAAGCATCAATCTGGATGGCAGCGTGCTTAATAGGGCATTCCAATATACCGGATGACAGTCCCTGAGATTATGAATGCAAGCTTTCTCTTCTTGCCTGATAAAGTTTACTGTCTGTAATCCATTATGTCTCCTAATGTATACTGCAACACAGGAATTATTGTAACAACAGAAGACAAGGGCCAGGCAACAGATTGTTTATTAGGGAAAATCAACACATATTTATAGATTTTAATGTACATTATTGTAGATTATTGTTAGTTGAAAATACAGTCTTTTGATTGGTTGTTTCTCACAGAAAGTTAACCTTGCATCTCTTTGTGGCTGTGTCAGATCATCCATATGCTAACTGTATTCGCCTACGCAAAGCCTTTGTTCTCATTTTCTCACCACCAATATTGGGGACATAAACACTGACGTCAATTACTGTCTATCAACTTTGGCTAGCAGCCAGCTCTCACCACATTATGACTTCTCGAGAAAGCTCCCAGCTGGTTCTCCTATGGACTCTTTTGTGTCCTTTTTTATTTATTGTGTTTATCAACTACGTATAAAATGAAATTTGAATAAAAACCAAATGTACGGGGATCCTTAAATAAAGTCACAGTATATGAGAAATATGATAGTTGCGTGAAAGATTAAACTGACCCAGATGACAAAGTCTGCATACAGTTTAGGCCAGTGTACACGTTGACCAGTGTGTGTGGAAAGCACCTTTCTATTTTCTCCAGAGGCAGTACCAGCAGGCCTAAGACGTCTTTCAGTAATTAATCCTGGTTTGAGTTTTGACTTATAGGAGATTCCTGGTGTCCATGGTGTAGACGGTACTGATTTACCCTCAATGCAGGCTGCCTTGAGTCGATCAACGCTGACAGTATCCTAACGTCCTGCTCTATCAGTGATGAAAAGTCTTTCTTATTGATGATTTTGAAAGGTCTAGCGTAGGGATCTTGCAAAAGTTTACGCACAGCGTCACAACGCAAAAAAATATGGGTGCAGTCCTAAAGTCTTACATCTAGCTGCACTTCCCTGCTTCGTACAAGTGTTGGATTCCGTTGAAGTCAACGCCTAAAGCGTGTTAGACATTGAGCCAAACACTTGGTTCGGTACCTACTGTAAAAACTAGTTCACCAGGTAAACGTAGGGTATTTCCGTAAACCAGCTCTGTGTAGTTGCACTATACATTCACTTTAAGAGTGAAACTACAGGCGGAACTGACGAGGATATCAAAGCAAGAATCAGGAAAGCAAGACAAGCTTTCACTACTCTCAAGTCTGTATGGAGGTCAACAACTCTCAGCATCAAAAATAAGATCCGGATTTTCAACTCCAATGTGAAGTCAGTGCTACTATACGGATCAGAGACTTGCATTGCGCGTCATAAAGAGCACCTCAAACAAAATACAAACCTTTATTAACAGTTGTCTTCGCTCAATACTCAAGATCAGATGGCCAGAAAAGATCAGCAACAGGGTGGGATCTCTGGGAGCGAACCAACCAGGAACCGATTGTGAAACAAATAGGCAGGAAGAAATGGAGATGGATTGGCCATACTCTGAGTAAACCATCAAGTGACATCACTAGACAAGGCCTTGAGTGG